ACCAAACTGTCTACTTAAATCATAAACCGCTACATATATATCTTCATAATTACAGTACAAAATATTTCAAAAACATACGTACACAACAACCCCTACAACATTTCCTTTAATATCACTGTACACGATATTACACCTTTTCTAACTGTATATGTGTGGACATAACAAAAAAGGTGTGTGATAATGCATACAACTACTATAACTTTAAACGATTTTTTTATGCTCAATACATGTAAGAACACTCCACACAACCTCCACTCACTAACGGCACTAACATTGCCAGCTATTTTCAAGCTATTCAGCATGATCAGAGCTTTCATTAAATCCTTTAATAAGGCACTATGACAAATTTACAAAAAAAAGCAGTTTTTGACAAAAAAAAAAATGGTGGCCATCTTGGATTTGAAGGTCAAAACTAGGTCGAATCATCGATCCGACATCAAATATGGATTCCTGGACATCAAAAACCCTCAAGTCCGTGCACTTAAGCAGCCATGTAGGCCAAAACACTGAAATAATAAATTTCAAAATGGCGGAAGGTGGCCATTTTGGATTTAGGGCTGTCACGGTTATGCCCACACTTTTGCAAGGGACACCCAAGCTATTTTTATTATAATACCCTCAAGGAAGATAAATAGACTGAAAAACTAATTCTCTCCACGGTCACGGAATTACTAGAAATGACCCAACTAATGTGTTTACTTTGTAATATGTGAGAAAATAGTTTCCCATCGGCCATAAGTAAATAAAGCTGTTAATATTTTCCAAACACTGGATGGAAGCTACTTGAATTACCCTATTGTTATTAAAATCTTTTCTGTTTCCTGCTTCAACATTAGGAAGTTATACTTACGCTCCATTCGCTTGGAATCTTTTTCAATTTCTAATAATTTGTTAAAAATATACAAAACTGAGCTGACAAGTCATGCTAGTAATAATTTGTATATTGTTAGCCAACAATATCGTCGCTCACATCACGAACTAACACAATCAAAGTAGATTGTGTTAGTTCGTGAAATCACAGTAGCGCGTCAAAACGAGCGCGTATTGGTTGTCAAGCAATTTTGTATGCTTTACCACACAAAAAGTCCTTAACGACAATAGCGCGTATTTTGACGCGCTTTTTTGATTTCACGAACTAACACAATTGAATTTAATTGTGTTAGTTTGTGATGTGAGCGACGATATATAAACCTACATTGTGGTCCCGAACAAGTGTTTTCTTCAAATATATTTTTGTCTATATTATTATTTAAATTAATTACCTCGGACCTACGGACCTTCGGACCAATGGACCTTCGGACCAAAGGACCTTCGGACAAATGCAGTGACCCCAGCCTAGTCCTAGTATTACTACTACTACTGTATTACTACTACTACTCTACTACTAATACTACTACTACTAAGCCTAGCCTACTTCTACTACTAGGGCGTATAATACTACTACTAGGGCCTACTACTACTTGTGATTTATTAGTCACATTAGCTATCACAGGCCCGTAGCGTGATTTAATTTGTGGGAGGTTCATTTTAGTGGAAAGTGAACCCTTATCTCCGGTAATCTGGAGAAAATTGTAAATATATCTACAAATATCTATTTTTTGTTCTAAAATGCGGACCTTCTCCAGTTTTTGGATGGTTTGTCGTAACCCCCATAACACCCCACGCCTGTATCATTGGTCAGCATTTAATATTAAGTAAAAATACGGTGATGGCTTGGAAAATAAGAAAATTATACAAGTTATGTTTTTGACATAAAACATGGTTTATTGGCAATAATATTTTTCCTTGTAATTTTTTGGAGATAGAAATACACATAATGCAAAACAATTCAAGACCAAATGTATTAAAACTCCCTCACAAAAATACTAACCAAGTTACGGATTATTTCCTGATTTTGGCAAAAACTTTAATAAAACCGATTTTTAAAAAAAAAGTTAAATTAAGTATATTTTTATTGATAAACTGTAAGAATTAAAAACTTGATCCCAGACATCTGTATTTTTTGGAAAGATCACAAAAGACTAGTAATCATCGAACTTACAGTTCCATTTGAAATGGGTATTAACCAAGCTCACTCCCGTAAAGTCAATAAATATTCTCCCCTCATGGCTGGCATCTCAGCCTCTGGCTACGAGGTTAAACTGATTGCTCTGGAGGTGGGATCCAGAGGGTATGTTACTCCAGATAATTTAAATAGACTAATAAACAAATCTTAACAATTTGCAATAAACCAATCTCACTTAAGACTTTAAGGGATAATGTCTCAAAAATTGCTCTAGTTTCTTCTTTCAGCACCTATTACATAAAAGAACAACCTTTTTGGGTAAATCCTCCATATTTCCAAATTAAATAGTCCCGTACAATTCAATTGTATTTGTTTTTTTTACTAAATTTTAATAAATTTTTTAAAATCAAAAGGCAATGACCTAATAACTTTATCGAATTTTTGATCAGAGTATTTTTGTATTTTATAAGTCTTGTCACCTGCTTTTGTCTGTTTACCTTGCGTGTTCCTTTATAAGGTCACGACCTAGGTTTTGTATGTTTTCCTTTGTTTTGTTTCGAAATAAAGTGATTATATATGTATATTAAAATCATGTTTTTTGCCCTAAAAACAGGATATTTTGGTAATAAATATTTTCCTGTTATTTTTGGAGAAAATGTTCTATTATTAAAGCAAATAGAAATGCATGTATTCTGAGTAATTTGAGACCAAAGTCAACATAATCTGATAAATACTAACAGAGTTACGGATTTCTCCTGATTTTGTGAAAATTTTACTGAAACCGGATTTTTTTAGTTAATTCAATTATTTTTTTATGCAAAAACTATTGGAATTAAAAAAAAATATTTTTTGTGATTTATTATTGTCACTTTAGCTATCATTTGCCACCTTTGAATAAGTGGAAACAATTGATGGCTTGGAAAAGAAGGAAATTATAAAAAACCTTTTTTGGGCAAAAAACTAGTTTTTTTGGTAATGATTTTTTTCCTGGTACTTTCTGGGAAAAATGTTTCATTACAGCGAATAGAAACATGATCCTTTCGAACATTACCAATAATAACTGAAATACAGAGGGTTAGTATTTTTTTTCCAAAAATGGATGCTTTTGCATAAAAGCAGCCATTTTGGACCCGGGGACCCAATTTTATGATTGCTATATGGCCGAAACGGATGACCTAAGATATCAGGGAGCATGAAAAAACAGGTCTATATAAATTGCAGAGTATGTACACGTAAACCATATCCAGCTGCTGGACTATAGCACTTGTAACAGGGTTTGCTATTTTGGGGAAACGTGTTGTTTTTTCCGTAACAGATGTAATAACCATAGGATTGGATTGGATTTATTCGGTGTAAACACCAAGGATAGCCCACGAAAGTCTAGAAGAAGACTTATTTCCAGTGGGGTCCTTCTGGTGGTGATTAGAAAGTACACCGGGAGACAATCCCCTACTCTTTTCCGAAGAGTGTACTGCGTTCTTTAACGTGCACATGGGTCATAGATGCATGGCTTAAACGTCTCATCCGAAAGATGGTGCGCTATTGTAACTTGTATTTCAGCCCTGTAGCTGAAACACAAGGAGAGGCAGCGATGGGAATTGAACCAGGAACCTAGAGATCTCCACGTTTCAGCACACACAGTGGCTACCACCAGATTAGCTGACTGAGCTAAGCTGCTCTCAAGCTGCTGAAAATTTTGTTTAATAAATGCATGTCTCAAACTATGTCAAAGTGTCTGGCTTTTATTTTAACAACTGCAGCGTTATTCTATACCACCGCTGTCTCTTATACACATCTAGATGTGTATAAGAGACAGCTACTACTAAGGTCTCACTACAAAATGAGTCTCATCGTTAGAAAATCAAAATGAGTTACCGTACCGTATTACATTTTGGTAGATCACATTATAAGGCTTAATTTGGTCTTTGAATGGCTTCCCTAAGGATAAACAGATCCAGAGATGTGAGCATTTAAAATTTAGGTATACGAAAATCGGCCTTAAAGATAAACTAACCTGTACAAATAGTAGGACTAGAATTAAAGAATATGCGAAGAGAACACTGTTTTAGTAAGAAAATTCACTTAAAAAGTACACAATCATAAAATATAAAGTTATTCAGAAACATTAAAATCAAAGTTTTGTAAAAAATGTTGCCTTTGACCTATTTTGGTGAATATCTCAATATGATTTCACCAACGATGCGTCTCATTTCGTGGCGAGACCTCACATATATAGGAGCTTAGAAGTATCCATTAAGGGAAAACTAAAACAATGAAGAGGGTTAAAAACAGTACCTTAAGGAGAAACTAGTGTCGCTAAGGGTAAACTAAAGCGACGTTAAGGCGAAATCATAGACAAAAGAGTTTCCCCCTAAGAGCCGAATAAAGGTAGTATATATATATGTGCATATATATATATATATATATATATATAGACAAATATATATATATATATATATAGACAAATATGGCAGCGCCAATTCAAAGAAGTAATAAGTAGGCGGATTTTCAATAAATGTAGAAACGTGAAATCGGTCATTTACTCCGATTTTTTTAATTTCAAAAACATACTGTACATATTATACATTTACCTTTCATTCTACATTTCCCTTTCTCTGATTTATAATAGATAAATGCTCTAAAATGGCATTTAAGAGAGCTTGTTTGCAGACAGAACTTTAAAATTCTATTGTCATGATCTCACAGAATAGCTATTTTCAAATTGTTAACTAATAGACGATGATATTTCTCATTTAAACTATCATATCAAAAGGGATTTTTTTGGCATTTTGAAGATAATAATGCCTAGTTTCATAGTATGTACAGAACTCAATTTGGAAAATTTCGACTTATCCCTCTTATGGCTTGGCTCTGCCACAAATGTTAAAATATGTGCACTAAATCGACTAATTTGTATGAATTACCATATTAGTTAGGATTTATTTTGGTTTTCTTTGTCTTGTGCAATCTGGTATGAATTTCATTTACATGAATTATTGTTAAACTTCAATTTCATATTTTATGCAAATTGCAATAAAGTTGATCATATTCGTATAGAATGAAATTACGATGCGATTTGTTAAAAGATAAAGACAATAATCCTACAAGAACTGATTTATTCATGTATAATATAACTAACTTGAAATTGATTCATAAAAAAAATTATAATGTCAAATCATATTCAATATTTTTGGTTTGATTAGGTGAAACCACTTTGGACCCTTTTGTATGAGGTGTGTATGTTAGTTTGCAGTGAAACATTAACATCTATTCATCCAGACAGTCCTGATATAGTTGCTGCAGTAACTGATGCAATAAAATTATATGGTTACCAGAAGCAGGACATTGGTAACCTGACACTTGATACAAACACTGGCAGCCGAGATCTTCTTCTTGCATTCAGTTGGCTCCTTGCCAAAGAATGTTTGACAGAGAGGGTTGTTCTTGATGCTCTTCGAACTCTTCCTGTTGATACTCATTTTTTATACCGGTCAACCAGCACAAATGAACATACAAGAGACAAATATATTAATTTATCAGGTATGGCATTGAGCGACAGATTTCGACAAGTAGTTTGGCTTTTTGGAAAGTGCAAGATGAGTTTAAAGAGTCTCATTCTTTCTACACAAGAATGTACAGCATCAATTCATGAGGTAGGACATTACAGTAATTGTTGAATGTTAAGCTACAAGTTAATTTACTACAGTTAATGTATAAGTGTATAGTACATGATGATGATGATGATGACAGCGGTCCCAAGTTGAAAGAACCAGTGATGGCGCCAGGATCTACCGGATGGGGAGGCTAGGCGAGCAAAGCAAGCCTCACTTGGCTAGGGGGTGGTCAACCACCAAAGGGCCACCAGTGGGGGTCCAGGGGGCTTTGCTATGTATATTTATGTTATTTGATAGTTGTCAAGCTACCGTAATATGACTGCGAAGAGGGTAAGAAGTAGAAACGGAAAACTATATGTTATTATTATTATCATCATCATCATCATTATTTTTGCTATAAATTTTATTACTATAAATGTTATTATTATTATTTTTATTTTTATTATTACTATTATCTTCATTATTATTACTATAAATGTTATTATTATTATTTTTATTATTACTATTATCATTATTATTATTACTTTATTAATTACTATATCTTCACTTATAATCATTTACTGTAATTTAATAATTTGTTAATTTTACTTAATTTGATTTCTTTGCCCTTGTTATTTATTTACCTTTCTGAAGAATTTTATATTGTATTTTTTCGTTGTGTGAAATAAAATAAAATGAATGAAAAATGAAATGAATGGATGAAAAATAATGAGAACTCCTGCAGGTCGAAAGCATCTATTTTGGCTATCTTTACAGTCAGTTCGTCATTGTTCATCAGGGGGAATTGTAATTTGTAATTGTATCGCAAAAAAAAGTATATTAGGCTCTATTGTCGTACCTACATTAACCATAGAAACTGACGACACAACCTAAGGCCTACTACCAGCCAAGTAGTAGAGCCAAGGTGTTCCATATTTAATGTTGAAAAATACGGTGCCTTACGCTGAAGAGGGTTAGGTTTAGGCTAACTATTATCAAGATATCGTACGGTACCTATGTTTTATCGACCCATAAAAAATAGCCACACACTGGCAGCAGTAGTAGAAAGGCCTAGACACGATATTGGGGTAGGTGAATGAATACAAATAAATAAAATAATATTAAAATTAATATTATTATTATTAATATTAATAACAATAATGGTGAAAATGCGGTTTGGCTTAGTGGTTTTCATTCTGGTTGTTGAACTTGTAGTCAGCAGGAGTACAAACAAATACAGGAGTACAAACAGTAACAGACCCCATTGATGGCAAAACAAGCAAGGGAAAACAACGTAAAAGATTAAGAGATGAGATCGATATTTATTGGGAAAGAGTGAAATGGTGCAACACAGCAAGAGAAAAAGATTGATTTGGCATAGACATCCTGAAACGTTTGTCCAGCAGTCGACTGACAATAGCTGATGATGAAGCCTCTGAATTTTATCAACGTGGTCAAGCCTTGAGTCTAGGTGATTGCTTAATTAATCTACCATGGGATTACAACTGAGACAAACCCAGCCACAGGGAGTGACCCACCGTTTGATAATTCCATATTCATTTTATCGTTTTATTATTTTAACATATTTTATTTTAAAAATAGTCTTTAATTCATACAGTATAATGCACATTGCAGTAAAAAATTAGGCCTATCATTAACAATATAAGCATAGGGCTATATTTATTGATCTATAGGAAAATACAGTTACAGATTTATTTATTGAAACCGCTAACCTAAATACGATAACAACATTTACAATAGGAGAAGTTTGGAAGTAGCTGTATACACAATTTAAATAAGCTACAGAAGTGGCAGCGTTTTTTTATAGGAAATATTTCTTGTTTAATGTCAAAATTAACTTCCAAAACCGAAATTTTTTGAATAAAACGAGAGCCAAAAAGTACGCAATGTAACCAACTACCTTATTTTCAAATCCGTTTTACATTTTATATTATAAAAAAACAAACCACCGTATTACATTACAATACTATCCTCCCATCATGACGAAATCCAGGTTTTTCGTAATTGTAATGGTAATGGCTGTGTATTTATTAAGCACATATTACAATAGTCTCTATGTGTTTGAAATGCAAAGTCTTGGAAACAGAAAAAAAACCCGAGAAATATCCTAAAGACTAACAAATGCAAACAACCACAGAGACAAAGAAAAGACAGTACAAGGAACCAGTGTCACTGCTCTGTTCTCCAGCACTTTGAGGCCGAAATGAATAGGGCTCGCTGGAACATGATTCACAAGAGCTCTAGTGACACTGGCATCTGACTATCCTATCCAAAAAAAAGGGCAAAAAAGGAAAACAAATTAAAAAGAGCAAAACAGGTGGGTCTTAAGCCTCGTCTTAAACACGAAGATAGATGGAGACTCGCGAACGGTGTCAGGTAATGCGTTCCAAAGCTTTGGGGCCACGACACTAAATGAACGCTTGCCAAAAGATTTTAAAGTAGAGTATAGATGAACTGGTTGTGGATCTCAGAGTGTGTGAACATGTAGCCAAACATAATTGAATAAGGTCAGATATATACTTAGGTGTGGAATGATGGAGAGATTTATAAACAAAAAGTAAAATCTTGAACTCGATGCACTGTTTGATGGGTAGCCAGTGAAGAAGACGAAGTGTAGGAGTGATGTGTTGGGATCTAGGTGTACCACAAACAAGACGAGCAACGACATTAAAAGCTGGAGTTGTAGTTTCTTAGTTACAGAATTGGGTAGTCCATAAAGAACTCCATTTACAGTAGTCGAGTTTTGATGTGAAAAGTGCATGGATCACTTTTGTGGCGGCATCTTTATTTAAGTAACGCCTGACGTGTTTGATGCTGCGAATTTCATAAGAAACTGTTCTGCATATATTAAGCACATGTTTCTTCAATGACAAGGTGGAATCGTGTGTATATACCAACATTGCAAACCTCTGACGATGGAGTAATAATAGAGTTGCCAATTCTGACTGTATTTATAATGGGCAAGTTGGCACAAAATTTAGGCTTGATGTATAAAACTTCTGTCTTGTTGCTGTTGAAAGCATGTTCAAAGACAGCCATGATTGGACATCATTTGCACATGCCTCCCGATACGATTAACAGCATTTCCAGCAAGCTCGGGTGGAAACGTGACGTACAGCTGTGTATCATTAGCATAGATGTGATAATTGATTGAATGTTGTCTGATGATATTACCGAGAGGTTGGATGTAGATGAGGAACAGTATTGGACCTAAGGTAGATCCCTGAGGAACTCCACAATTAACAGCAACTGCATTAGAGACGACAGACTTAACTCGCACCATTTGATGTCTAGAAGTTAAATAAGGGCGAAACCAGCCAAGAACTGTTCAAGATGTACCTGTTTCTGAAAGGCGATTAAGAAGTATGACATGATCGATGGTGTTGAACGCGGCTGATAAATCGAGATATACAGATAAGGCACAGCAGCCTTTGTCTAAAGCCTGTAAGATGTCGTTATGTAGAGCTGACTCAGTGCTTTGTACTTTCCTGTGAGCTGACTGATATGAATCAAACAATTGGTTATCGTCAAGAAATTTAACCAGTGATGATGCAACAACTCTTTCTATGACCTTAGACACAAATGAGATATTTGTGATAGGTCTGTAGTTAGACAACAAAAGAGGGTTTTTTCAAGATAGGGGTAATAATTCCTAATTTGGAATCATCGGGAACAGTTCCTGACAAAAGGGAAAGTTAATAAGTGACCGATATAGTGGAACAATGTTGCTAAATGTTAACAAGAATCTTAGTGGGAAATGGATCTAGATCTCTAGACTTGGGAGTCATAGATCTGAACTTTCTCCACTTCGAGATTAGTAGCAATTTCAAACTGCTCAAATCAGTCAGGATTAATATGGGGTGTTAAAGAGCGGGATAGCTCTACGTCAGCGTTAGATTGGCAAGAGGCTTTACAGAGTAGGATGTCATAACGAAGCTGCTTGATTTTATTGATAAAGACGACTCTGAACTCAATAGCCAGCTGAATATTACTGGTATTAGATGGAAACACTTCAGATTTGCCTATTCCAAGGAGTTGATTGGCAACCCTGAATAAGAATTTCTGGTACCACATCCATTAACCTTAGCCTGGGTGTAAAATATACAGCCTTCGTCAGGTACCTGGTGGTATTCGATGCAAGCAGTTTTGTAGCAGACGAGATCGACATTAGCCTTCGACTTCTGCCACTTCCGTTCAAATTGATGTTTCTTCTGCTTTGCATGCCTACATTAATTGTTGAACCATTCCGATGAGGTCCGAGCTGAGATGGTTTGCGTTTTTAGAGGTTCAAGTTGATCTCTTATTTCGCTAAGTGTTTGATTGTAAAAGGCAATTGCAGTATTCAATTGATATCCATGTCATCAGTGAAGTGCTTAAAGTTATCAGCAGTTTGTTGTTCAAGATATTTCGTGTCAATATTTTGGAATTTTCTAAATTTGATGACCCTTTTACCAGGCGGTGGTTTATCAATGTCAAGCTCAAAATGAATGAAATGATGATCTGACAATGGATACTGTTAAACACATGATTTTATCAACAGATCAGGGTTGTTAGTAGTAACAAGGTCAAGTGTTTATGTGTAGATGTGTTAACAAGTTAAGGTAGGTTGACAGAGTTCAGGATGTCCATGAACTTTGCAACATGAGGATTAGTGGGATCATTAACATGATTATTGAAGTCACCAGCAATTATGAGATTGGAAGAAAGGTAATACTGTTCAATGAGATTAGAAAAATCTGAGAATTGATCAGTGGGACAGGGTGGGGGTCGATATATGGTGATGAGCATAAGTGTTTTATGGGCTTCACAACCTTCAAATGTGCTAAAATGGTTGATACGACGACATGTGATTAGCAGGCGGGACATAACAGCTACGCCTCCTCCCCGTTTATGTTTTCTGGGAAAGGAACAGAGTGTGAAGCCATCTGGTACACAGATTGATGTGATTGTGAATTATTAAGAACAAAATTACGAATAACACTAATGTCTTACTGTAAATTCTAAGGCCACCGATTTGTGACATTATACTACGATTAATTAAGAAAACACAATGTCACTGGGAACGTCACAGTACAAGCTTTTAATTCAAAGTGAAGAAATTTTGCCTGAAATCTGTAAACCATGAGGTTGCGTCCCCGATCAAGATGTATTCTAACCATCTTGAGGATATCCAAACGAGCATTTGTCATAGTAGAACGTAAACCATGTTTAATTAGTCTCATTGAACAGGGGCGGATCCAAAATTTTTCAAACGGGGGAGGGGCATTTGTATTCTTTTTTTTATTTCAATACATTACATTAATATGCACTGACATTTTAAAAATAGTGTCAAAACAGCGTTTTGACACTTGACACTATTCTGCTGACTTACGTTCCAATAGATGTTTGAAAGTAATTAATTCATTGTGAAGAAGAATATCTGTTGTTTCATGGGCTTAATTCAATGTGAACAGTAATATATACGGGTAGTCGGATAACTTAGAATAAAACGGCACATGAATTCCCGATGGAATATACTCGTCTTCCCCAATGGGGGGAGGAAAACCAAGCTTCCCCGACGAAGAATATCTGTTGTTTCATGGGCTTAATTCAATGTCAACAGTAATATATACGGGTAGTCGGATAGCTTAGAATAAAACGGCACATGAATTCCCGTTGGAATATACTCGTCTTCCCCAATGGGGGGAGGAAAACCAAGCTTCCCCGACGTGGGGACTATAGCCCCCAGCACCCCCTCTGGCGCCACCACGGGAAAGAACCCATTTCCGGGAGATTCGTTTTAATGACATTAGGAGCGCTATATATTTTATGAGGAAAAAAGTGTAGGTACAAACCGAAGGGCCACGCCCACATCAGGCCCACTTGAAAATAAAGTACATTACTTTTATTTACTTTTTAAAAATACTCTAATTAGATTAATCTGTTTTTTCAATATTACTGTTTTTACTTTTTGCAGATTAATTCATATACCAATGGTGTTACATTGTCTTCCTTCACTGAACACCTCTCACTTCTGGAAACATTTGTTTTACGATACCCACAACATCTGACCAAGGTTTGGAAAACAGTTATTTCTGTTTTTATAACATTTTATTTATATATTTAACTTTATCCCATTAGAATAATAAATATATATAATGCAAAGCAGATTGATCACAAAATACAACATTTGTCATTGTATGCACTTATAAATGCGTTTTTCATCGTGAAACTGTCAGTATCTAACAATTGTACCTCTTCGTGTTCGATTGAGATTATAACTAATTCATCAAGCCTCTCTTGACAAATTGTTGATCTAAGGTAAGATTTTATCAACTTCAGTTTGGAGAACAAATGTTTTGCCGAGGTTACAGTTATAGGCAACGTTATGAAGAGAAGGCACACAGATATTATAGCAGGGAAGGAGGGCAATAGGTTTGTGACTTGCAGCTTGGAGAAGACATTTGCTACACTAACCATTACACAAATTTGTCGCAATTCGCTACACAGATCCGTGTGCATGTCTGCCCATATAATTTCATGAATTTAGACCTTTAGATGTGAGTTTCTCATTTGTAAAAGAAATGGTTGAACAAATGCAAACTCACACTTACAAGTGTTTGACCTTAAATGCTAGTTTGAGATCTTGTAGTCGCTCATCACTGGACAGTTCATCAAAGTGTTTCTTCACCTTCCATTTTCGAACGTCTTTAAACACGCACGGTAGTTTCCAAACCATCCCAATTGCTTTCGCTGTTGCCAATACCGATTCCCATGATGAATGAATGTATTTCAGTTCAGACCTTGCCGCTGAAAGGAGTATAACAGAAACAGTAAGGTTTATAGCTTGGAATTCTTTTGATGCCTTATGTAGGCAGGTTAGCACTTTTTCCTAGATAATCAAAACAAGAAACTCATTGACCTCTTGAGGGACCATGTGCCTGATCACCCTTTAACGTCTTTGCTGCTAATCGTTATCCTTGTTAAAACTTTAAGGATGTCTACCAGTTTTTGATGGCCCTCACAGAATTAATTCTGGATGACCACCGTGTTGTACACAATCGCTTCAGTTTAAAGCCCCATTCCCGGCAAAATTTCACTAAAAATGACTTTTTTTTA